AGCACAGCGAGAGGACGCTACTTGCCTGTCTCCCAAAGATTCACCAACATAGCAGGTGTCTCCTATCCCAGTGGACCAGGAGCAATCGGTAACACAGTAGGTAGATCTGCCCTGGACACACTTGTGGCTTTAAGCAGCAGCGCAAGTATTGTCTACCTGCTGTATCTGAGGCATTGAACAGCACAGCAAGAGGCTCTGTATGGACAAAGTGGGGCAGCTGTCAAGTGGCTAAATGCATCTTTTTCAGCATAAGTTGTGTGTGTGTATGTGTTGTGTGTCTGTGTCTGTGTGTGTTTAATATATGACCGGCTTTTCATAAACTAGACTTAAACAAGAGCCCAGCAAAGTATATTTCAGAATATTTGACCAACTGTTAGGGTGGAAGAAACATATATCAACTTGACAAATGAAGACTTTCATTTTTAAATAAAGGAAACAACAGCATGGCACTGAGCCAGCATGTGTCCCTTCTTGTGTTTATGAAACAGTTCATGACTGATTTGATCAACAGCTCAAAGTCTGATTTGCCAAAACATTGTCTACCCTTATTCCAGAAGAGATCCAAAGAATGCAGAGGTCATGTGAATGCTCTGTGAGCCTAGGCTGGAAATGCAGAATGTATTTTCAAGCCTGAGTTAACACATTATTACAGGAGATCTCAGTGAGGTCCCTTTATTTGGTTTGATGAATGCCTTTATAAATGGTGCAGATTTCAGGGACCTGAAAACAGAGGTGGGAGCACCTGTAGGAGCATGCCTCACAGCCCTGGTCAGAAAGAACAGTGTTGTGAGAAAACATCCTGTATCACATACTGACACAGCATACCATGTATCTGCAGTAACCTATGATATACTAGCCCTATGGTCTTCCTTGGTCATCATGTTGCTGTAAAAATGAGCCATAGTATGTCCCCAAGCGAATGCTCCCCAGGCCATGCTACTGTGCAGCAACATAATGAAAGGAAGGATGGAGAGGGATGTCTCTGGAGAAACAAAACTCTGATTAAGCTTGCCTGTTCCCCTCTCTGCTCCAGGCAGAGCACTCAGTAAAACATCAGCTTCATATTAAACCGCAAGTAACACCTGCAATTTCTAGTGGTCCGTTTGTGACCAGGAAGATATTAACTTCC